CATGTTGCTAACTTCTAGCTCTGTCTCTTTCCTTCTGTCCTGTGTGTCGTTCAGAGAGGTATTTGAAAATATTTTGGGTATTTCATTAACATGGCCCTTTCAGATAATTAATGCAGATGTTAAATGAAATGTGAGGTAACACTGGCCCTCTAACTTCCATTTTTTTAAATCAATGCCCTCTTGTATGGTCTGTTGGCCAGTTCTCCACCACTGGCATTTCTTGAGAGGATTGATGAATTGCAGCTTTTTGGCATTTCTATTACTTTCTTTTTTGAATTATCTGAGAACAGACAGAAAAATTCTCCAATATTCATGATATAAAAGTGCTCATAGAGTTCATCAGTGAAGAATATTTTGTCTCCAGATCATTCTCAGAATCTGTGTTATTCAAAATTTACACAGTGCTGTTCTGTTACATTTTTCTGATGGTGTTTCCTCTACTCTTCATTGGATGACTACCTAGCCCAGCATGTTCTGTACTGTTTACCTCAGTTTACAGATAAGCAGTAAACAGGGTCCTCTGGACAAAAAGAGGGGGTAGACCGGTTTCTCAAAGACAAAGGACAAGCTGATGCCTCTAGCCACGTGTCATCAAAGTTGATGGGCAATCGCCTTTCAGGTGGCCATTCTTTGAGCAACTGGTTTGTAATGTAGTATCCAAAACAGAGATGAAAAAAGTATGAACAAAGCAACAAGTTATGGAGCTGTTAAACTGGTGGGTTGGGTTTTCTTGATGTATAGAGAGTTTTGTAACTTGTCAAACCGTATTATAAATGTAACTAGCGTCAATGCATATTTCTGAAGCATATCTTTATTTCCATCCTCTTTGTAACAGCCCTTAACATATTTGAAGATTGCTATAAGATCCCCCTCAGTCTCCTTTTTTCGAGAGTGAACATGCCCAGTTTTTTTAACCTTTCCTCATAGGTCAGGTTTGCTAAAACCTTTGATCATTTTCATTGCTCTCCACTGGAGTTTTTCTTCCTAACTTTGCATTTGCATTTATTGAATTTCATCTTGTTGATTTCAGATGAAATCTCCAATTTGTCAAGGTCATTTTGAATTCTTATCCTGTCCTCCAAAGTGCTTGCAAAAACTTCCAGCTTGGTGTCATCTGCAGATTTTATAAGCATACACTCCACTCCATTATCTAAATCATTAATGAAAATATTTGATAGTACTAGACCCAGGACAGAACCCTTGGGACCCCACTAGATACATCCTTCCAGTTCGACAGAGAACCATTGATAACTACTCTTTGGGTAAATCTATACGGCAAATAATAAAACAAAACAAAAACACACCAAAAACTACCCAGCAGCAGTGAGTCTCAGAACCTGGGTCTGCAGACTTGGTCTTGTAGGGTTCTTGCTACAACACTAAAAATAGCTATGTAGACGTTCTGGCTTGTGCTGAAGGTCAGGCTTTGAAATCCATTCTTCTCCCTGGGCTTCAAACTGGTAGTCTACATGTCTATTTTTAATGCCATACCATAATCCCCACAAGCCCAAGTCTAGAGATATGGGCTCTGAGACTTACAGACACAGGGTTAGTGTTTTTGCTGTGTGGACGTACCCTTTGAGTACGGCCTTTCAACAAGTTTTTTACTCATCTTATAGTAATTTAATCTAGATCACATTCCCCTGGTTTGCTTATGAAAAAAGTCATGAAGGACTGCATCGAACGGCTTACTAAAATCAAGCTATATCATATCTATTGCTTCTCCCCTATCCAATAGACCAGTTTATATACATGTGAACATAAAAACAATGATGCACACAAGCATATGAACATATGATCGTAATCACCAAAAATGCAATCAAATGCACTAGCACAATTCTATTCATATATATACACAAGGATGCAGAAACCTACAAATGCAAACACGCAGATGCATATATACAAGGACATGCCCCAAAACTATAGAAATAGATAAAACATGTTGGCTATAATTTATTAAGCCAACTAGGGGATTTCGATACTTATTTCCTATTGGCAATTAAAAGCATGGATGCATTTTTTCAGACATTCCAGTAGAAATGTAAACCTTTCAAGCTGCACGGATGAAAAAATGTTTTGGGTTTGGTGAGGGCTTTTGTTGTATTTTTCCCTTGCGGAAAATTTCAACTGTTCATTGAAAAACAAAAAAATCTCCCAAAGCACTTTTTGGCGGGTACTTTTGCAACCAAACCTCCAAAATTTCCACCCAAAACCTGAAAATTAGTCTATTTTCAGGTTTTCTAATTATATATATATATATTCAAAGAAAGCAGACACTTTCCAATTACCCCAAAATCAAAACCTGAAAATTTCAAATATGTTTTTTAATTTCATCCATTCCCCTCTAACTTACCTGCTTGGAGCAAATTGCCTTTGTCTCAGCACAATTCTCCAAGTGACAAAAGGCATCCATTTATATACATTTTGGTGTTCACCAGGGAGGTACCCTGAAAGAGGCTCTGCTGTGATGTTGCCAAGCAACCAGAACTGCCCTTAGTTATCACAGATGAAGAGTGGAGGCTTCCAAACTTACACAGCTGGCTACACCTGACATTGTGAGCTATCAAAAAATGGGCAGCTTAGATCAGTCTGGTTCAGGCTCGGAGAGCTGGTGAGTTGGTTTGTGTTTGAATTAAGCTGTGAGTGATGTCATGCTGGGCTCCCGACCATTGCTTTGCAGTGATTGTGACTAGGGTAGCATCACGAAACACCGATGTCACCAGGACGCAGACACTGTCGAAGCCACTGCCACTGTTTAGTGACCCCCAAGAAGTAATCAGTGGGTCCTCATGGAAATTGATCACGTGTAGTTGATTCTTTTTATTCCCACTAGAGAAATGCCCAGAGGCCCAGAGGTTAGAGGTCACAGAAAGTCCATCACAGCCTCAGAACAAGGCAGTATTCCTTTTTATGGCCACATCATGCTGTAGCTTTTCTGCATTAGGATATATGATCAAAGCTGCCTTGCTAGGGTATGTGCAAATAATAGGCTTCCATGTGTCTCAGCTTACACATCACAGGCTACAGAGGCCTGATAAAGCTCTGCCAAAGAGAAAAGAAGAAGGTGTGGGCTGGGGACATGGAAGAGGAGTCAGGGCAGACCAATTGTCCAACTTACATGGAGAGTGTTGGCAAGAAATTTGGGCCCCATTAAAGTCAAAGGCAAAACTCTTGTTGAATTAACAATAGTAGTGACACAAGTTACTAGAGACCAAAGCAGATCTTGAATAAAGCAGAAATGAAATTGTTAAGGAGGATCCTTGGAGTTATAAGGATGGGCCATGCTTGAAACAAACAAATTAGAGGAAGTGTGAAGGATTATAGAAAAACTAAGGGAATTCAGGCTTAGATGATTTGGGCGTGTGAAAGGTAAATTGGAAGAACAGATGGGAAACAGCCTGTTGAACTTAGAAGAGGAGGGTAATAGAATGATGACCCAAAACTAGATGGATGGATGTCCTACAAAGGGATCTGGTTAGCTGCAAAGTTTCAGAGGAACTTCTTCAAGACAGACTGGAATGGAGAAGAAGGACTTGAAGAGCTGACTCTGTTTAGGTGGGATGCAAGCTAGAAGAAGAAAAGCAGTAGTAACATGGATACAGGTTGTGGTGGTGGTGGAATAAGTCACAGAAGCAGTAGTAGTATAATTAGTAAATGGCTTAATCGTGTCCTCACCATGAGCTCAGCTCCTGGATTAGACCAAGAGGGCGATTCTGACTGATCCAGTGCTTCTCTGGTAAGGGGCTATGCCTGATCTCTTCTGGGCCCATACCATCCTCCTGTATCCAGTGTAGGAGTGTACAGGGGTGCTCTGCACCCTTTCCATTCTCAGGGTTGGAGCAGTGGTCTGAATGCTTGCTGTAGGTGCCTGGCTGGAGCTAACTATTCACCACATTTGGAATTGGGAAGGTCTTTCCTCCAGGTCAGATTTGCAGGGACCTCATGGGATTTCAGCTTTCTCTTCAGTGTGGAGTGTGGATCACCTGCTAGGATCAAATGGTCACATCCCAGCTGATCAATTCCCTGCCATGGCAGGGACCTCAACCACTCATAACACCTAAGTCTATTTACCCCTTCACATAACACAAGAACAAGGGGTCACCCAATGAAATTAAGAGGCAGGACGTTTAAAACAAAAAAAAAGGAAGTATTTTTTCACATAACATACAGTCAACCCATGGAACTCATTGTCAGGGGACCTTGTCAGGCCAAAATATAACTGGGTTCAAAAAAGATTTAGATAAGTTTATGGAGGACGGGTCTATCAACAGCTTTTAGCCAAAACAGTCAGGGACTTAACCTCGTGATTTAGGTGTCCCTAAACCTCCAACTGCCAGGAACTGGGACTGGATGACAGGTGATGGATCATTCACTAATTGCCCTGTTCTGTTCATTCCCTCTGAAGAACCTGGCATTGGCCACTGTCAGAAGACAGGACACTGGACTAGATTGAACAATGATCTGATCTAGCATGGCAGTTCTTATGTTCCTGTTCTGTGCCTGTGGCATACAACAGCTTAGTCTTCTGAGGGCTGAAATACCTTTAGTTTAACTGAAATCATTGGGCTTAGTATGTGAGTGGAATGTAATGGCCTGTGATGAACAGAAGGGCAGAATGGATGAGATAATGGTCCCTTCTGGCCTAAACCTTTATGAAACTATAGAAACTTTTGCCCCCTTTAGTACCACTAAATAACTCCTGCTGTGAGTTGGCCAAGTAAATGTAGTAGTAGCAACAAGAATAGTAATGGGTAGTAAGATAATGTCTATGTTTGACTGCTCCTACTTCATTTACATCTGCAGAACTTCATACCCTGTGTTCAAAGTCAAATATTTGAATATTAACCAGGTAACCCTATCACACTCCTCTTACAAACTTTGACCATCCGTAACTCATGCTATATGCCTATTAAACCCCTTGGCAGGAAGAAAACATGAAGGAATCTCAAGCTTCCTCTTTTGTAATGCAACCTATTTGTTGTGTGGTGATGTAACATACACTATCCTTTCAGACCACTGATGGTTAGCAAGGTGTCTTTGTCCAGTTCTGATGGGGACTTGGATTTACACTGAGGTCTCTGATACATGGTGGTATATTTGGATCCTTGGTCTCTCAATACCAAGTCCATTTTAGAAGACTATAGTGAAAGAAAAATGTAGTTTTATTGATGTGTCTAAGATACAAGAGGTTTGTATCTATGAAACAACAAAGGAATAGGGGAGAGGGAATATTTTATTTTATTTTAAAGAGAGAGAGAGGAATCTAGAGTAGATTATGATGATGAGAAACAGACTGTTAGATATGTCGATAGATCAATAGCTGAATGTGTAGAGGGATAGATTGATAGATTGATAGGACTTTTCTTTTTGCGGATACAGACTAACACGACTGCTACTCTGAAACCATTCTTTACTGTGTTATTACTATTATGCAAGTCAATTTACAGTAGAAGAAAAGAGAGCTTTCCTGATGCAAAGACATACTGAGACACATTTTTTTCCCCAATTAAGTTTGACCATAATTTTGATTACCTATTCTGTTCATTCCCTCTATGGCAACTGGCAATTGGCCACTGTCAGAAGACAGGATACTGGGCTAGATGGACCTTTGTTCTGATCCAGTATGGCCATTCATATGTTCTTATTATTAGGGCCCCAACAAATTCATGGCCATGAAAAACGCAACATGGATTGTGAAATCTGGTATCCCCCCATGAAATGTGGTCTTCTGTGTGTTTTTATGCTATACTATACAGATTTCACAGGGGATACCAGCTTTTCTCAAATTGGGGGTCCTGACCCAAAAGGGAATTGCAATAGGTTGCAAGGTTATTTTAGGGGGGGTGCGGTATTGCCACCCTTACTTCTGCACTGCCTTCAGAGCCCAGTGGGCAGAGAGCAGCAGCTTTTGGCCAGGCACCCAGATATGAAGGTAGCACACCACCACCACCAGCACAGAAGTAACGGTGGTAATACTTTACCATGCCATCCTTACTTCTGTGCTGGTGGTGGCTCTGTCTTCAGAGCTGGGCTCCCAGCCAGCAGCCACTGCTCTCCAGCTGCCCAGCTCTGAAGGTAGCTCTGCTGTCAGCAGCAGTGCAGAAGTAAGGGTAGCAGTACCAGAACCCCCTCTATAATAACCTTGTGACCACCCCAAAACTTCTTTTTGGGTCAGGACCCCTCCAATTACAACACCGTGAAATTTCATGTTGAAATAGCTGAAATCATGAAATTTACGATTTTTAAAATCCTGTGACCATTAAATTGACCAAAACGGATTATGAATTTGGTAGGGCCCTACTTATGACCAATAAGAGAAAAAAATTGTTTTAGGAAAAAATTCAAAATGGCAAGAATCTGCACATTTCCAAAGGTTTAAAAGAGTTTATTTCAATAGTTTTTTCTAGAGTTTTTTAACATAATTTTCTTCTCGATGTTTTTTAAACAATATTGAATGACTGTTGAACTTTTGTCATTTACAAAATACCACATAAATGAAACATTTTGATAACCCTTTAAATGGTATTTTCTCTTAAAAATGATAAAAAATGTCATGATATTTTTGTAGAGAATGAATATTTTTGAAAACCGTGACCGTATTTTAGGGGTTATTTTCATTTCAAAGACGGACATTTTTGAAGAGAAATATTAAATATTTATTATTATTATTATCATTAGTGCTAAAATATTACATATCCATGAATACAAATATTCACATAACATAGCTACATAACATTTAATTTCATTATATTTTTAAGGACCTGTTTTCTATCTATACATATACACACACGTATGTGTAGATAGATAGATATCATTATATAACTACACATACCAGTGCACACATTTTGGAATTGGCATTATTTATGTTCCTGTTTTGTTTATTTCACTGATGTGCAAAATTTCAGTGTCAGAAGATCAATCAGACACTTTTTATCTCTTCACTTATACTCTATTCCCACTTCTTCTGTGCCCCCTCCCCACCCCAGGACTTCCTGTATAATTTCAAATACCTCAGAAACTTGAAACAACCATCATATTTTCATTTAAAATCAACTTCTCACAAAAAATATTTTAATTTCCCATCACCCTATTCAAAATTACAGTGGCCCAGGGAGTGTTATGTCATGAAATCTTGAACTAAAATGGAGATGATCAAAAAATTTTGAGAAGAATGTTTGTCCAGTGAAAAACAGCTTTTCTTGAAAATTCAGCTTTCCATGAGAAGCTGTCCGCAACTTTAAAACGTTTCCATTTTCCACAAAAGTTTCAGTGACATTTTAATCTATATATTACTGTTGAATCAGCATTGCACAATTATATTTGATAGATAGATAGATAGATAGATCTTTTCAAAAAATGGAAAATTGGAGTTTTGGCTAAAACTACATTTTTCACAGAAAATTAAATTTTCATCAGAAAAAAAATTGGTTTAGGTCTGAAACATTTTCACTTCTCAGTAGTTTTTTTTTTTTTGCCCTTTAAAAAAAAATTAAAGTCAAAATTTACTGGTGCTAATTTTCCATATTGGGAAAAAAATCAACCAGCTTTGTCAGACAGATAGATACATTGATTAAATGGCTAATCTTGCACACAATGTCTCAAAAGATCCAATGAATGGACGCTTAGGCTAGTGAAATTCAAACTGTAAATAAGTAATATATCTTCAACAATGAGATTAAGTAAGAATTGGAACTACTTATCCAGGGATTTGATGGCTTTCCATCACCTAAAGTCTTTAAAGCAAGACTGAATGTAGGAAGTACTGAGAGAAATTATATTCCATATAGTAGGAGGACTAGATGATCATAATGGCCCCATTTGCCCTTAAAATCAATAGAAAGATAGATAATTCTTCATTGTATTAGAACTGACCTGCAAGGTAAATTGTTAAAGGAAAAGAGTGATTTCCTGACCCAAAGACATAGTGAGAACAAGGTTTTCTTGCCTGATGAATTTGCACCATTTAGAGAAAATGTGTTAAGACAAAATAAAAAAATCAGGAATATTTTCATTTCAAGGGGTTAAAAACAAGTTTATTTCAATAGTTTTTGTAGAATTTTTTCAATCCATTTTTTTTCATTTTGTTGAACATATTGAAATGGCTATTATTTTTTTATTTACTAAACAGTGGATAACAAACATTTTAAGAATCCTTTAAATGTGATTTTCTTTGAAAAAATATTAAAAATGTCATGATATTTTTTTGCAGAAAATGATTTTTTTATTACTTTCATAGGAAAAAACACATATAACTAAGGACCACACACATGAACTATAATTTACCAGAGGGGTGGGTGTTAAAGGATGGGGCACAGTATGCTAAGCTCTGATGGGGCAGGGATGGTGTCCCTAGCCTCTGTTTGACAGAAGCTGGGAATGGGCGACACAACAGGTGGATCACTTAATGATTACCTGTTCTGTTCATTCCCTTTGGGGCACCTGGCATTGGCCACTGTCAGAAGACAGGATACTGGGTTAGATGGACCTTGGGTCTGACCCAGTATGGCTGTTCTTATGTACCTCTATTTCATGCTAACCTTAGCAAATTGAGTTTGCCTTTACTGATTTTTGTGGGAAAGGCACATATTTCACAAGAGCTTTCCTCAGGGCTCTGTTCACCTCCTTGTTTCTCAGGCTGTAGATGAGGGGGTTGACCATGGGAGTCAGGACTGTGTAGAAGACAGAGAACATTTTGTTCAGGTTTTCCACTGTAGCACTATCTGGTAGCATGTAGACAATCATTAGGGTCCCATAGAAAATTGTCACCACAATGAGGTGAGAGGAGCAGGTGGAAAAGGCCTTTTGCCTCCCCATGGTGGAAGGGATTCTCAGGATGGAGGCAATAATAGAAATGTAGGATGTCACAGTTAATAGGAATGCGGGAAGGGTGAAGATGGAGGAAAGTATGAAGGTCACGAGTTCCATCCAGCTGGTGTCACTGCAGGAGAGTTTGATCAAAGGGGTGAAATCACAGAAGAAATGATTAATTTCATTTGGTCCGCAGAAAGTGAACTGTGCTAACAAAGATGTCGTGACAGTACTAGCCAGGAAGCCACTAATCCAAGACAAAGATGCCATCTGGAGGCACAAGCTGCCATTCATCTGCATTGCATAGTGCAGAGGTTTACATATTGCTAAGTACCGATCATAAGACATCACTGCTAGGAGAGCACATTCTACAGCTGCCAGGGAGCTGAACCAGTTAAATTGTATGATGCAGCCACTAACAGAAATGGTTCTGTCCCCTGTCAGGAGACTGGCCAGCATCCTGGGCAGGATGGTGGAGGTGTAGCAGATCTCCAAGCAGGACAGGTTCCCCAGGAAGAAGTACATGGGGGTGTGCAGGTGTTGATCAGCCACAATTAGAACAATGATGAGAATGTTCCCAGCCATGGTCATGAAGTAGATCACTAGGAACAGCATGAAAAGAAGAATCTGTAGTTCAGGGAGATCCCCAAATCCTAGCAGGATGAATTTTGTGACGGATGTTTGATTTCCATCTTCTGCATGGACCTGGAAGTGAAGCTGGGGGAAGAAAAGAAACTTTATAGTGCTTTGTATGCTTAGTACTAACTAGTATTGCAAGGAGATCAGTTTTATACAAAATTTGTTTACACATGTTCCAACTTTTATGTCTCATAGAATATGAGGACTGGAAAGGACCTCAGAAGGTCATCTAGTCAACCCCCTACCCAAATCAGGACCAACCCCCAGGCAGATTTTTGCCCCAGATCCCTAAATGGCCCCCTCAAGAATTGAACTCACAACCCTGGGTTGAGGAGGCTGCTGCTTAAACCCCTGAGCTATCCCTGCCCTCCGCCTAATTGAGCCCTCCCTGCTTTTTTTTCTTTTTTCTTGTGGAGTTTTCACTCAGATCTCTCCTAATGGCAATCATATGATGGGTCCGTGTCTCTACAAAAACCTTTACTGGCTTTATTGGTAACTCTATTACATTGAAAATGCATGTCCACCTTTTTGTCCTTTGATAAGGAACTCAGACAGCACAGCAATGATCATGTGAGAGAGAGAGAGAGAGAGATTTGCTTGAATCAAAGAATGGAAAGTCAGACAGACATAGATTGAGATTGATGGACAGAAGAATGGATAGGTAGACTGACAGAGAGAGACAGAGTGACACACACTCAAGAATGAATGAGCAGAGAGTAATTGTTGGAAGTGAAGTATAGAGAGGCAAATGAACATAGATAGATATCTTTCAAATTATTACAGCTTTCCAGGTTTTGCCCTCCGATTCAGTACGTGTTCATATTGGCTTTCCCTCTCTGAATTAGCTGCATCTTCCCAGGCTGAATTTAGTTTCCTCCTTTTCTACCCAGCTTTCTAACTTCTGACTCTTTCTTCATCCTGACTTCAAACATTCAATGGAATTTAGTTCCAAACCAATGTTTAATAATCAATGAATGGAGGAAGACATTCCTCTGAAACTCCTTCTACTTTCCCTCTGGCTAATACTGACTCTAAATCAATCCAGTGTGTTATATATACATCTGCTACTCCCTGGTGAAGGAAATGTCTAAAACAGAGTATGTCTTCTCTCTGTCTAAAGCATAATAACCCCAATTCAAGAAGATACTCAACTTGCACTTAGTGTTTAGCACAGGAACAGTCTGATTAACTTACATGGGATTGCTCACAAGCTTAAAGTTATGCATATGTTTAGGTACCTTCCTGAATCAGAATCTATAGTGTTTTTCAACTTAGAGGGGCAAATGTTGCAGTAGAAACAAAGGATTCAGCAAGATGATCTATCAAATCTTTTATCTCCCCTAAAGTGGATAGAAAACTGTGGAATTACTTACAAAGGGATGTGATATAGTCTCTGTCACTTAAAGTTATAAAAGTCATGACTGAATATGTTTCTTAAAGGTATGCCCTAATTTCAACCAGCAGTTATTATTCTATGCAAGAATCACTGGCTGAAATTATCTTGCTTGTATTATGCAGGAGGTCAGACTAGATGACCATAATGGTTCTTTCTGCCCTTAAATTCCATAAATCTGTAAATTGGTTTACCTTTAAGGAGGAGGTATTAGCAGCCAAAACCTCTGATGTGAACTCTTCACTCTTAGTATTGACACCAGGATATAGGTTTTGCCATCTATCTTCCATCCTCATCATCATCATTGTGATGGATGGGTGCCGGCTTCCTCCGGGGCTGGAGGAGCACACATGGAGTCGGCGCCTATGTTCAGGTGAGATCTTTCAATAAGATACCGAGCTGCATTCATTTTGCCTTCTATCCATCTATTGAATGTCAGCATCTCTCCTAATTCCTTATTTATTCTTTGTGGAAGAAGGGGAAACCTCCCTTGACATTTTAGCTGATGGTGGCAATGACAACAGCAGGGGTCCCATGTGGGATTTGAACACCGTCCTCCCTTTCGTTCTTTTGAAAAAATCAGCCATTTTATTTATTGTTAGATATAGAGATGGTCAAGACTCTTTTTTTAACACTTTTGTTTTCCACTGGAAAATGCCAGTTTATCAGCACTGACACTGTTCTTTCAGAAGAGAAAGTTTTGACACATTTTCTTGTGTTCGGAATCCAAAATGATTGACCTTGTCCAAACACCTTGTCTCAACATTTTCTAAATGAAAATCTTCTAATTATTTTTGCATCCACATTTGCATTTTTGCATTTCATGTTGAAATTTATTTTAGCTTCTAGTAAAAAATAAAAAAGGTCAAAATTGAAATGAAACATTTTGAAATTATGGGAGCAATGCATGTCAGCTGACCCAATCCCAGTTTTGTGGGGGGGGAGGGTTATCTGTTCACAACATTCAGGTTGAGTTTTTCAGAGTTGCACAAGGGATTTAGATGCCTCATTTCCATTAGAAGGAAGGGGAATGGACATCCCATCCTTTAAAGGGCTTTGAATGTCTCATACTACCCATGTCCACTGATCAAAGGCAAAGTATTGTTATGTCAGTTTGTTTTTTACATTTCTGTTATTATTGGTTTAATGCCAAGAGATCTCAACTGAGACCAGGCCCCATTGTGCTATGACCTGTGCATGCACATAGTAAGAAATAGACCCTGCCATGCTGAGAGCACAATCTAAATGGATTAAAGGTGGGAGTAGAAACTGAGGCACATAGCAGGGAAGTGACATTGCTAGAAGTCAGTGGTAGCACTAGAAAAGGAACCCAGGTTTTCTGACTCCTTGTCCCAGGCTCTATGAAGTGTGCACAGCATTACTTCCACAAACTTTTGGCATTATCGAGTTATTTAAAGGCTCATATTTTCAAAGTTTCCCGGGAGATACGAACATACAGTGGGTGTCTCTAAAAATCCCAGCTAAAATCTGTATATTTAAACCCCCAGGAAACTCAGTATTTGTGACTTTATTCAGTCATAGGAAGGTGGAAACTCAGACTGACCAAAATCACAAACACTTTTAGAGCTCATGTAGTGAATTTGTGGATCTCAATTTAAATGTCAAGGTGCTCTTAAGTTCTCATCATCATCATCATCATCATCATCATCATCATCATCTTCTATATTTATCTCTGCAGAGATTCTTTATAGCCTATGGACTCAGGCTTACAAACACTTTCAATACACTATGTACCTGAGAAAAGTTACTCATATGTATAAGTGTTGGTATGACCCACTCATGATTGTATGTTACCAGCCCCTGTCCCTAACCCCCAAGCCCCATGCTGATCCATAGGGGATATGACTTTTACAGCCAACACTTACAAAGGTTTGGCTTTTTATCTCATTCTGTACTGGTTCATATATTTAGCCCTCAAAACCCCCTGTTCAATTCTGGATGTGCAAGCCACAAGGGTGGTTGGAATATTTAGGACCAGGTCTCTACTAACATATATTAAGGCAGCAATCCTAAAAGTACAATGCAAACCTTTGATACTTAAAGGTTGAGGTTTTCCAAGCTGCCTAGGAGAATGGGCCCCCGATTCCTATTAGATTTAATGGGATTTGAGTATCCATATCACCAAGGCACTTTTGAAAATCTCAGCTAAAATCTCTAAATTTAAAATGGCATGAAACTCAGCATATATAATTTTATCAAGCCATATTGACATGCAAAATTCTGCTTTGAGCAGGAGGTTGTACTAGATGACCTCCTGAGGTCTCTTCCAGCCCTAATCTTCTATGAATCTATGAATGGGGCTGTATTGAAACACATGTTCATATGAATCCAATTCATCAAGCAATCTAAATCAGCCTGAATAACTGATGTCATTATTATTTGCCACTATCATCATGCCATTATCATCATGGTTTTTTGGCAGCACCAAGCGCAGGCACCCACAAGACCCCACTAGACATACATCTATTAAATGATTTACCATTTACAATTACTTTTTACAGTTAGCCAGTGTTAGAGGGCTTTCCCTTCACCCTCTACTGTGGTTCTTATCCTGCAGACAGAAAGCAGAAGACCAGAAGTCTGAAGTGTAGACAATGTGATGTTTATTGGGGTTAGTTTCCAGCAAACGTGTTCCATAACTCTTACACCTCAGAGCCTGAAAAATGCTACTTTAAGCGAAATGATGTTAAGTGAATCCAATTTCCCCATAAGAATTAATGTAAATAGCAGTGGGTTAGGTTCCAGGGAAATTGTTTTCACCAGACAAAAGACTATATCTATATATATACACACATATATACACAGTAGAAGTTTTAAACAAACAATTTAATACTGTACACAGCAATGATGATTGTGAAGCTTGGTTGTGGTGGTGAAGTCAGAGGGTGGATGAACTAGCACTCAGCTGAGCCCTCAAGGCAGGGCCGGCTTTAGGAAGTGCAGGGCCCAATTCGAACATTTTCGGCGGGCCCCAGCAGGGATGACTAAAAAAAAAATAGTAAAAAAAAAAAAGCCTTTCACTTCTTCCATGTATTATTTATTCCCATGACTATATAAATAATAAAATTATATATTATGTACATTGCATCATATATGCTGTTGATCTGATATTAATGACCGCCGTTTCACATGTGTGCACATGTGTGGGTCCTAGCTGCTCCCTGCCCCCCTCATTGAAGCAGGTATGCAGGGTTACTGCCCTGGGAACTGCAGGGCACAAGTGGACATGGGGCTGGCTGGAGGCAGGGCAGGGGCTGACTGGAGGCAGGGTCTGGCTGCAGGCAGGGCAAGGGGTGCGGGGCTGGCTGGAGACAGGGGTGTGTGGGGTGGGCTGGCTTCAGGCAGGGCCGCAGGGGGGTGCGGCAGCGGTTGACAGGGCTGGAGACAGAGGAGTGCGGGACTGGCTGGCTTCAGGCAGGGGGATGCAGCAGGGGTTGGCTGGAGACAGAGCAGGGGGTGCAGGGCTGGCTGCAGGCAGGGTAGGGAGTGCGGGACTGGTGCGGGCAGGGCAGGGGGTGCAGGGCTGGTGCTGGCAGGGGTGTGTGTGGGGCTGGCTGGCTTCAGGCAGGGCCACAGGGGGGTGAGTCGGGTTGCTGGAGACAGGGCAGGGGGTGCGGCAGAGGCTGGCTGTGGGCAGGGGGTGCAGGGCTGGTGTGGGTAGGGGGTGCAGGGCAGGGGCTGGCCATGGGCAGGGCGGGGGGCAGGGCTGCTGCGGGCAGGACAGGGGGTGCATAACTGGTGCGGGCATGGGGTACGGCAGGGAGTGGCTGCAGGCAGGGGGTGCAGCAGAGGCAGCTGGAGCCCCGGCCCTTTAAATAGCCCCCAAGCCCCCCGCTATCCCAGGGCTCTGGAGGCTATTTAAAGGGCTCAGGCTCCGGCTGCTTCTACCGCCCTGGCCCTTTAAATAGCCGCGGGAGCCCTGGGGAAGTGGTGGGGCTCCGGCGGCTATTTAAAGGACCTGGGTGGCAGAGGCAGCTGGAGCCCCAGACCTTTAAATAGCTCCCAGAGCCCCCCGCTATCCCAGGGCTCTGGGGGCTATTTAAAGGGCCCGGATCTCCAGCCAGGAGAGCAGGGCTGCGGAGCAGGACTTGCTGTACTCCGGCCAGGGCCGCGGGGCTTGCCGCGCTCCAGCCGGAGCTCTGGCCGGGAGAGCGGGGCCGTGGGGAGCGGGGCCGCTGGAAAAAAAAACAATAAAAAAATTTAAAGGGCACCTAAGGCGCGGGGCCCTCTTAAGCGTAAGGCCCGATTCCTGGGAATCGAGTGAATCGGCCTAAAGCCGGCCCTGCCTCAAGGGTTAACACATTGCTGTTAATGTAGCCTCACACTCTACAAGGCATCACAAATGGAGGGAGGGGAGACAGCATGGCAGACAGAGACAGAGACACACACTGTGTGTGTGAGAGAGAGATGCACATTGCCCCTTTAAGGACACTGACCGCACTCTAAGTACATTGCCTTTTTAAGTAGATCAGCAAGTTGAAACAGCAGCTGCTGCCCACAAGCTCACTCTCTCCTGACCACTGTCATGTCCCCCCCTCCCCGCTTCATACAGGAGGGGAGGCAGGAGCAGGGGGAGGGGCACACCCTGACATTAGCACCCCTCTTCTCACCCCCGCTTGCTCAGCAAGCAGGCGGCTCCAGGGAGCAGCTCCAATGCAGAGGGAAAATCAGCTGGCAAACACAGTGTCTGTATCTTCTCTCTTGTTGCACCTCTCAATCCTATTTTTTTTCTTTCTAGCAAGTTTTGTGTTCTCTTGAGCTAATCCCACTGAGTGACTTTCTGAATCATTACCCAAGAGGGATAACAGATGAAAGATGCATGAGATAAGCTTCTGCTTTGAAAGAATGGCAGATCAGATGGGAAATTTGGAGAACCAAACAATCAGTCAGCTGGTATAAATGACCCCAATGTACCCATGCCGATGGGGGCTACCTGACTAACTGGATCTCAGTATGGTGGTGCTGGCTATGACACCATAGTTGAAGATACACTGGATTTCCTTTTGGCAGTGGAAAGAATGGTGAACACCTACTTTTCTTGTACTAATTAAAGAAATTAACCATTCTGGTTGCTTGCAGTGACCAGGTGCTTTCCAGACATTCAAAAAGGGGTAGTATCTCCTCTGAGCATCTGCCAGTCAAAGGGCCTTGTGGTTGCGAAGACACATCTAAAACACATGAATGAATTGTAAGCAGAGCAGCAACATCTGTCTGAGTCTGCAGAGAGCGTGACATGACAGATCTGAGAGAGGGGAAATTGCCCCAAGTGTAATCAATGCAGCGA